ACACACACACACACAGAGAGAGAGAGAGAGAGAGAGAGAGAGAGAGAGAGAGAGAGAGAGAGAGAGAGACTACCACTACCACCACCAAAATAACAGGAATTAACAATCATTGGTCATTACTATTTTTGGTATCAATGGACATAATTCTTCAATAAAGAGATCCAGACTATGAGAATGTTGTGAAAACAGGACCCAATCTTCTGTTGCATACAAGAAACACCACTAATATCAAAGGTAAATATCACCTCATTATCTCAGAATAAATTACTGGTCAAAGAAATTCTGAGCAAAGGGATATAAGAAGCAGGCTTGGTTAGCCATTCTAATATCTAACAAAATAGACTTCTGTGGTGACTTGAAAGGCAATGGTCTGAAAGGGAGTGGGCCATTAGGAGGAGGGGCCTTGTTGGGGTTGCTGTGGTCTTATTAGAAGAAACTGAACAGAGAAACACTGGAGCTAACAGACATCGTGTCCCAAATGAACATAATAGCTATCTACATCACATATCACCCAAATGCTAAAGGATATACCTTCTTCTCAGCAACTCATGATTTTTTTTCCAAAAATTGACCACATACTCTTTCACAGAACAAGTTTCTACAGATACAAGAAAACTGAAATAACCCCTGTATTATATCAGACCACTGTAGATTGAAGCTGGAATTCTACGAAACAGAAACAAAAGAAAGTCTACAAACTCATAGAAAGTTAAGAACCCTATACAGAATGAAAACTGGGTCAAGATCAAGGTAAGAAAGAAATGAAAAACATTACACAGTTCAATGAAAATGAATGTACAACGTACCCAAACCAATGGGACAGAATGACAACAATACTAAGAGAAAAGTTCATAAACTTTAAGTGCCTACATATATAAATTAAAGAGATCTCATATTAGCAACTTATCCACACACCTGAAAGATCAAGAATGAAAAATATCAAACACATCCAAGATAGCAGGAAATAATCTAACTGAGGGCTGAAATCAACAAAAGAAAAACAAAGACAATAATATAAAGAATCAGTAAAATGAAGAGTTCATTCTTGAGAAAATCAACAGAATGGACACCACCTTGCTGTGGGATGTTCAGTATGTTGTGAATATGTGTTGCTCCGATTGGCTGATAAATAAATGCTGATTTTCCAGTAGCCAGGTGGAAGTATAGGTGGAATAAGCAGGGAGGGAATATCCTGAGAAGTGG